GTGGGCACCCCTGGGGCTGGCGAAGGGCCCGTGCAGCCTGGCACTCGGCAGTCTCAGTACCTGGCGCTCAGGCAGGGGTCTGCTTGGGGGTGGGCAGGGCCAGGTGGCCTGTGGCCTCAGCTCTGACCCGCCCTTCAAGGCAAGACTGTCCTTTCGGGGAATCCAAGCGTAGGCGTGGCCAGACTCCCGGACGGACGGGCGGACGGACGGGAGGTCTCAGGAAGGAGCTGCTCAGTTAGCTGTGCCTTCCTCCGGGCGCTGAGGAACTGACACGGCATAGGAGTAGCGTTTGTCTCCTCAGATGTGAGCCTTTGCACAGGACACGGGGCGCACGGTCTATCCCAGGGGTCCTCACACTCTGGCCCGCGGGCCACATGCAAATACAAATACTGTATTTGTTCCTGCTTCGTTTTTTTTACTTCAAAATAAGATATGTGCAGTGTGCATAGGAATTTGTTCACAGTTTTTTTTAAACTACAGTCCGGCCTCCAGCGGCCTGAGGGACAGCAAACGGCCCCGTTTAAAAGTTTGGGGCCCTGGTCTGTCCCATCGGTGTGTGCACTGCGCTCCGCCCCGTGGTGCTGAGGGTTGCCTCATGCATTCCCGTGGCCTGGCTTTCAGCTGTGACCTGCACCTGCCTGAGAGCTGGCCAGTGGCCAGGGACGGTGGCTGTCCTGGTGAGCAGTGCCATGGGCCGTCCGCCGCACCCGGCTCCTCCGTCCTCACCACCTCACCAGGCCCCCGAGTGCCCTCACTGCCACCGCCTTCCTGGGTGGCCTGCAGCTTTGGGGAGAAAGCGTGTGTGTGTCCGTCCCATATCCGCCGCCTCGCCCCCCCCTCCCCCCGCTGCAGGGCTCCGTGCGGGCACTGGGCGCGGGCTGCTAGCAGAGCCTCCGCGTCTGAGGTGGGGCTGCAGGCTCCCTGGCGTTTGCGTGGCTTTCACTGTCCTGGACTTACTCGCCGCAGCGGAAACCCTGCTCAGACGCAGGCAGAGCACGTGGGGGGCCTAGAAATGGGAGTCGCGGTGACACGGTGGCTAAGGGGGCTGTGGGCCCTGCCCTGGCGCTGCGCCCCCCACGCTATCGGAGCGTCACGGGATTTTCACGCGTGTCCTCGGTCACTGTGGAGTCTCACCATCAGGATTCATCAGCCCCGCGGGGCCGTCCCTGGGCCGGGCATTCTCACTGCGGCCCCAGCCTGTGCACTGGCGCTGCCCGCGTGGCCAGGGCCCAGCTTCACACGTGTCGTCACCTTTCTTGGAAATAATGTTTTTATTAAAACGTCGAGTTCATGTTCCTGTAACAGCTCAGAGGAGGACATCACGATGTCTCGATTGTCCACTGGTGGCAGCTGCGCGGCCCGGCTGGTCTGCCGCACCCTCAGCTGGGGCACAACAGAGGAGGACATCACGATGTCTCGATTGTCCACTGGTGGCAGCTGCGCGGCCCGGCTGGTCTGCCGCACCCTCAGCTCAAGGGCCACACCCTCGCCTGCCTCCCGCCCGCCCGCTCGGTGTCACCTGCTGTGCGGCCGAGCGCGCTGCCGCCCATCACCCTGTGCCCAGACGGTCCTGTGCCGGGACCAGGCGCCCATCTGCTGTAAGGACGGGATTCAATAAAGCGCTGCTTGGTGACCTGTGGCCCCTCAGTGATGGATCTGTCCAGGTCGGGGAGGCTCGCTGACCAGCCCTCCCCCATCTGCCCCCAGTGGATGCCTCCAACCTGGGGTCACTCAGGACAGCACAGTTCTGTAAGACCGAGGCCCCCTGGGCACGGGGCCCACTGCCTGGGGGGCTTCCTGGAGGAGGCGGGTGCGTCTCACCACGGGCTGTGGGCAGGGGACTCCCCTGGGTGGAGAGCAGGCCTGCTGGGGAGGGCACCCACAGAGGGCACAGGTTGTCTCCCCCACCCTCCCAGCCGCTCAGTGGATAGGACCCCCACCACCCCAAGATGTCCAGTCTATCTTGGGGGCCTCCCCCCTGCACTGGTACCAGGCTCCTTGGGGGACCAAACGGGCTCCCTGTCTGAGGGCCACCCTCCCGAGACCTGCTGTGGCCTCCCCCTCTCCCTGCCTGGCCCCTGGGCCAGAGGTGCCACCCAGCCTCATCAGGTGCCCCCAGCAGGTACCCAGACCCTTGGTGCTGTGGGTCCTTCCTCAGGCGGACCCTGGGAATCCGGACAGGCCTGTGAGCCTGTGGCAGGTAGGGCTGGACCCGTGCTGTACAGCGGGCACCGGGACACGAGGCCTGGGCTGGAGCCCCGGGCAGCACCGGGCTCTGTCCTTGCCCTTCTCGGGAGG